GGAAATGAAATTATCAATCTACAGAGGACTGAATTCAAAGACACCCTGAAAATCAAAGTGAAAAAATGATGCAGCAGGCTAGTCCATTTTGCTGAAAATGCATTGCAGCAACTCAGAATGGTACTCAGTAGTTTGTATGACCCCCACGTGCTTTTATGCATGCCTGACAATGTCGGGGCATGCTCCTAATGAGACAATGGATGGTGTCCTGGGGTATTTCCTCACAGATCTGGATCAGGGCATCACTGAGCTCCTGGACAGTCTGAGGTGCAGCCTGACATCGTCGGATGGACCAAAACAGATGTTCTATTGGATTTAGGTCAGGCGAGCGTGGGAGCCATTCAATGGTATCAATTCCTTCATCCTCCAGGAACTGCCTGCGTACTCTCTCCACATGAGGCCGGGCATTGTTGTGCACCAGGAGGAGCCGAGGACCCACTGCACCAGCGTAGGGTTTGACAATGGGTAAAAGGATTTCCTCCTGATACCTAATGGCAGTCAGGGTGCCATTGTTTAGCCTGTAGAGGTCTGTGCGTCCCTTCATGGATATGCCTCCCCAGACTATCACTGATCCACCGCCAAAACGGTAATGTTGAATGATGTTACAGGCAGCATAATGTTCTCCACGTCTTCTCCAGACCCTTTCACTTCTGTCACGTGCTCAGGGTGAACCTGCTCTCATCTGTGAAAAACATGGAGCGCCAGTGTCGGACCTTCCAATTCTGGTGTTCAATGGCAAATGCCAATCGAGCTCGATGGTGCCAGGCAGTTAGCACAGGGCCCACTAGAGGATGTCGGGCCCTCATGCCACCCTCATGAAGTCTGTTTCTGATTGTTTGGTTAGAGACATTCACACCAGTGACCTGCTGGAGGTCATTTTTTAGGGCTCAGGCAGTGCTCATCCTGTTCCTCTTTGCACAAAAGAGCAGATACCGTTCCTACTGATGGGTTAAGGACCTTCTATGGCCCTGTCCAGCTCTCCTAGAGTAACTGATTGTCTCCTGGAACCTCCTCCATGCTCTTTAGACTGTGCTGGGAGACAATAGCATGTATTGATGTGTCATCCTGGAGGAGTTGGACTGCCTGTGCAACCTCTGTAGGGTCCAGGTATCGCCTCGTGCTACCAGTAGTGACACTGACCCTAGCCAAATGCAAAACTAGTGAAAAACAGAAAAGATGAGTAGGGAAAAAAAATGTCAGTGGCCTCCACCTGTAAAACCATTCCAGTTTTGGGGGTCGTCTCATTGTTGCCCATCTAGCGCACCTGTTGTTAATTTCATTAACATCAAAGCAGATGAAACAGATTAACAATCCTCTGCTACTTAACTGACCAGATCAATATCCCAGGAGTTTAATTGACTTGATACTCTACTCTGATTAAAAAGTGTTCCTTTAATTTTTTTTGAGCAGTGTACATCCCACTCCCCTCTTACTTTCTTCACCCTTCTTCTCCTAACCTCTGGGGATATCTCCTCAAATCTTGGTCCTCCAATATCTTGCCCAACACCAGGCACTCTCCTTCCTCCAGCAATAGCTGTAAACAGCTGCATTTGTAATGGGAGGACATGAACCATTTACAGCAGCTTTGGTATGTACTATTCTAAGCATATAGAATTGCATAGGGGTTTTTCAGCCCATCCTGCAAACAGCAGGGTAGAGAGGGATGGGGGGCCAGCAGTTTTTGTGGGGAGAGCCCCCCCCCCTGAGCTTAGAGAATTGCATGGGAGGATTTTTGAAAATCCTGAAGGTGAACTAACGCCCTACATCATCCCCAACCCATGATCCTTGCTGTATGTACCTCCTTGGGTGATGAGCAGTCAGTATCCACAAGGCCAGGGTGGTGGTCTGGGGATGTGAAATCCATGCTTTTCTCTGTCAAGGTCCTACCTTTTCCCTGAGGTTATGTTACTCCATGTGCTGGCGTCCATCTTGGATTCTGCTGTGCATGGTGGGAATCCTTTTATGCCTTCAGGTCTCTGAGGTCCATCCCCCAGAGGGGCATGGCTGATGACATATAAGCTTGTGGCCCGCACATGCTCTTTGCACTTGTGTCGCTATTACTCTGTTCTGACTCTCGTGACTCTCCTGGTATCTGATTCGGCTTGTGACTTGACTATTCTTTGTATTCTCCTTTGATCTGACCCTCTGTTGCTGAACCCGGCTCGTGACCTGTGATTCTCGTCTGCTGTCCTGTACTGTTTTGTCCTGTTGTTGTTGACCCCGGCCTGTCTGACTACTCTTTTGTCTCTTCCACCAGCTACACGCCATTGGCGGCGGCCATTACCGCAGCTGAGGTGTCTCGGGGGCCGCGACCTGGTTCCTGGCTGCGTCAAGTCCATCCCCACCATCAGGGGCCCTGGTGAAGGGCAGCCTGGGACTTAGACTCCGCGCCCTGAGGGACTTTGGTCTGTGGGTGGTGGTTGTCGTCAGCCAGTGCGTTACATTGTTAGGCCTGCCTGTCCGTTCCTCGGCTCCTGCCCTGACATTCTCCCCCTTCTTTCTCCAGGGCTTCCGGGATGAATCGCAGTGAGTTTGATTGGTCAGCAACAGCATAGAGCTTTGTTCTAAACCTTCCCAGAAGTGCAGCAGAAAGAAGTGGAAGGAAAATGATAAATGGTTTTCAAAATTTTTTACAAATAAATACCTGAAAAGTGTGGCGTGCATTTGTATTTAGCCCCCTCTACTCTGAAACCCCTAACTAAAATCTAGTGGAACCAATTGCCTTCAGAAATCACCTATTTAGTAAATAAAGTCCACCTGTGTGTAATTTATTCTCAGTATAAATACAGCTGTTCTGTGAAGTCCTCAGAGGTTTGTTGTTGAACATTAGTGAACAAACAGCATCATGAAGGCCAAAGAACACACCTGACAAGTAAGGGATAAAGTTGTGGAGAAGCTTAAAGTGGGGTTAGGTTATAGAAAAACATCCCAAGCCATCTCACAGTCCACTGTTCAATCCATAATTGGAAAGTACGGCACAGCTGCAGACCTACCAAGACATGGTCTTCCACCTCACCTAAACTGACAGGCTGGGCAAGGAGAGCATTAATCGGCAAAGCAACCAAGAGGCCCATGGTAACTCTGGAGGAGCTGCAGAGATCCACAGCTCATGTGGAAGAATCTGTCCACAGGAAAACTATCCACAAATCTGGCCTTAATGGAAGAGTGGCAAGAAGAAAGCCATTGTTGAAAGAAAGCCATAAGAAGTCCCATCTGCAGTTTGCAAGAAGCCATGTGGGGGACACAGCAAATGTGGAAGAAGGTGCTCTGGTCGGATGAGACCAAAATGTAACTTTTTAGTCTAAAAGCAAAACGTTGTGTGGGGAAAAAATTAACATTGCACACCACCCTGAACACACCATCCCGACCATGAAATGTGGTCGCATCATGTTATGGAGATGCTTTTCTTCAGCAGGGACAGGGAAGCTGGTCAGAGTTGATGGGAAGTTGGGTGGAGCCAAATACAGGGCAATCGTAGAAGAAAACCAGTTCGAGTCTGCAAGAGACTTGAGACTGGGGTGGAGGTTCACCTTCCAGCAGGACAACGACCTTAAACATACAGCCAGAGGTACAATGGAATGGTTTAGATCAGGGGTCTCCAAACTTTCTAAACAAAGGGCCAGTTTACTGTTCTTCAGACTTTAGGGGGGCTGGTCTGTGGCCATTGGGAGTTGAAATTGTCCTGGTGTCAGTGGGAGTAAACAATGCATCTTTGGTATTAGCGGGAGGAATAGTTCCCCATTCCTGGTGTCAGTGGAAGGAACAGTGCCCTATTGTTGGTGTCAGTTTGAGTGCCTCACCATTGGTGTCAGTGGCAGGTATAGTGCCCTGTTGGTGTCAGTGGGAGAAATAGGGCCCCATTGTCGGTGTCAGTGGCAGGAATTATGCCCCCTTGTTGGTGTCAGTGGGAGGAATAGTGTCTTGTATCAGTGGAAGGAAAGGTGCCTCAAGGGCTGGATAAAGGCAAGCAAAGGGTTGCAGTTTGGAGACCACTGGTTTAGATCAAAGCATATTCAGGTGGTAGAATGGCCCAGTCAAAGTCCAGACCTAAATCCAATTGATAATCTGTGGCACGACTTGAAAATTGCTGTTCGCTGAAGCTCTTCATCCAATCTGACAGAGTTTGAGTTATTTTGCAAAGAAGAATGTACAAACATTTCACTCTCTAGATGTCAAAGTTGACAGAGACATCCACAAAAAGACTTGCAGCTGTAATTGCAGCGAAAGGTGGTTCTACTAAGTATTGACTCCGGGGGGCTGAATACAAATGCATGCCACACTTTTCACATATTTGTGAACAATTTTGAAAACCATTTATGATTTTCCTTCCACTTCACAATTATGTGCCATTTTGTGTTGGTCTACCACATAAAATCCCAATACAATACACTTATGTTTTTGGTTGTAACATGAAAAAGTGTGGAAAATTTCAAGGGATATGAATACTTTTTCATGGCACTGTAAGTACAGCATTGACAGGGGGGAGGGTGTAGGGTGTTGTTTACCTTTTCAGTTTTTCTCAAAAGGTGAACTAACCCTTTCAATCATAGAATGCACAGTTCAGCAAGCCTGTAAGAAATCATTTTCAGATCTGATCCTACCTATAAACATTACCAGTAGGTTGACATCTCCTGGAAATGCCTTTTTTGTTTAAGGTAACATATAGGTGAACACAGAGAACTTCCTCGTTCAAGCTACAGATTGGGCTATGGCCTTTAGTGTGGTGAGACTCAAAAAAAGCTATTGTCTGGTATGGCTGTGGACATAATTCGGGGACTAGTGAAATTCTAGATGCTCACACATTTTTAAACAACTGATTCACTTTGATTGCAGTAAATTTGTGCTCTCTGTTGTATATGGTGTGTGTGTAAAGATCTGTAGGAGTTGGTTATGTTATCAGTGTCAAAAAGTGAGTCCTACATTTACTTATCCATATATGACATTTCATGTCTTTACAGGGCTGTCTGTGTCTCCCAGAGTCAACTCTTTAAACTTTGGGAATGGACACTCTCACAGAAGCCCTTGCTGGAAGCTTCTCGGTTTCTTCACAACTTAACAGTCCATCTGCTCCCCACCCACGACTGGCACAGTACAAGAGCAAATACAGCTCTCTAGAACAGAGTGAACGCCGGAGGAAACTGCTGGAACTACAAAAAGCGTGAGAAATAGAACATTATTGACTGATAGGAAATGTTTACTGCTGTTTTTTGAGATTTGAATATTTAGGGGTATGGGTTCTCTCAACATCACCATAATAATTATAGGTTTATTGAAAAAACTATTTTCAAGCTGATGGCAAGGTATAATAATAATCGATAAAGATATCTTATTGGTAAAGTTTATCTAACCCCCCCTCCAAAAAAGTGGAACATGTTGCTGCACACCAGTCCCTAGATGCGGTGCCTGCTGTAGGTCTCATTTTTTCTGAAAACCTATCTCTTCAGGGAAGCCTATCCTGCCCTCAGCTAATACTGGAATCTTCTACTCTTCCAACCAGTCCATCCCCCACAGTTACTACCTTTTTGTACCACTAGCCCCTCCCTCCTAAATTGTAAGCTCCAAGGAGCAAGGCCCTCCTATCCCTCTTTTATTGTTACTGTACTGTCTCCCGTTATATTGTAAAGCGCTCAGCAAACTGTTGGCGCTATATAAATCCTGTATAATAATAATTTACACTTGCGGCTGGAGGAGGGGAGGGTGGTAAAAATATTTGAACTGCCATTTTACCACCCACTGGCCACTCACCTTAACATAACATGGTGGGCAGGGGGGTGGTACACATGCCATGTCAAAAATTATACCACAGGTTGTGTTTGGCAGGCAGCAATCTGCCAAACACAACCCATGCAAGTGAATAGGCCCGCAACTGCCCTGCTGCCACATATAAAAAATAAGTTCACCTTTTTGGAAAAAATTATAAATGCACATATTTTTGCAGGAAAAAAAATGTGCCTTTATTATTTATTCCCTAGGAGCCTGGAAAGCATTGCACCCATGATCAGCGGATCAGGGATGCAATGTCAGACACCTGAAGACAAGCCTTGCAGCTTTTAGGCAGTACCTGTATAGGGGCTGACTGTTCACATGCTGCAGGGCTTGTGAAAGACCTATGGAAGCATTCATCAGCGACCTCGCAGTTTATTCTGAACTATAAGCTGTCATGCATAATGGCTGACGATAGTTGCAATTCATGCATTCACAGGTAACTGTGAATGAATAAGGCAGCTGTGTGGGCGGAGCCCCGCACAGCCAAGCTCCTTTTGATGTATGACAGCGAATGTGGGGAGAAGATCCCTCATGAGCTGTCACAATGAAAGTGTTACTAAACTCACAACAGTAAAATCAATCTGTATATGCAGTAAAGCATGCTTGTTATACTCATTGTAGAACTTAAGGGATTAATCCTCTGCGTTGTATTAAAAGGATTTTCAATCCTGACTTCTCTGATCCTCCCTTCTACGTTCCCCATTCCCTTTCCTGATAGAACACAGCCTCCGGAACACTCTGCACATGCTCATTTTGGTGTGTACTACTAGAGAGTTTTTTTTTTTTTCTTGGGAGAGTACATGTGATCAGTACAGGGCCAATCAGCACTGTCCAGACAGAGGGTCAGGGGTTATGCAATCTCATAGGGTAGTGAGAGGAGAATGAAAATGCCTCCTACAATCTTTACCAGTGCTTTGCTGGACACCGATAGAAGTCACAGAACTGCTGTAACTGCCGATGAGAAAAGGTATTTAGCAGTTTATATTTACTAAAATAATTGCTTTTCCATGTTCTGGGTACTGTGGGAGACCAGATATAGCGAATGCAGGGTCCTGGGTTTAGTAGGGATCAGGGTAACTGGCTGCCAGAGTTGGAACACGTAACATGTTTCAAAAGGTAAACTTATTCTTTAATGCATGTGGTTGCGGTCTTTCGAGGATTAAAACGGGGAGAGGAGGCATATTGCCCCCCAGCCACCTGTCAGCTACCATGATGGGCGCAAGTGTAAGCAAGCTCCTCGGTTTTCTTTTCTTGGAGTTTTGCTTTTTTTTTTTTTTTTTTTTTTTTTTTTGTCATCTAGTGATTCTGCTTAACACACTTGCTGTGCTAAGATGACAACGCTCACTCATCATACTTTATCCAGTCAACAGAAACAGGACAGGGCTATAGAAACCTCTCCCTGTCCCAGCACCATAGAGAATACTGTGATTTCCATTGTCATGCTGTGCAACTCAAGTCCTATCTGAAAATGCTCTAATGTGAACCAGTCCTAAGGGCTCAATCACACAGTTGTGGAGATGTATTTATCAGATCTGAAGCAGACAGAATCTGGAGCAGCTGTGTATGGCAACCAATCAACTTCTATCTTCAGCTTTCAGATAATGAAAGATAGAAACTGATTGCTTGTCGTGTTTAGCTGCTCCTGTTTTCATAAATTCTCCTCTGTATCGTAAACAACTGCTGTGTTTTTTTTCTTATTTAGAAAACCGTTTTCACTTTTTTTTTTTTTTTAATCCTTTGTGGCATCTTAGTTTTCCTCTTTCCAGATAGGCAGCCGATTCCCATGGGGGTACTTGTGCAGGCTCGCTCCCGAGTCCCAGTGCTGTGTCCATTGACACAGACAGCCCGACTCCACCCCGCCCCTCACTTCCTTGTCACTGAAGTTAACTGACAGGAGTGCGAGCCAATGGCTCCCACTACTTTTGATCTGCCCAGTAAGGAGGGACAAAGCCAGGAGAGCTGCAGCTTTCATGCACAACGCTGGGTCTCGATGAGGCTCAGGTAAGTACAGTCAGGTCCATAAATATTGGGACATCGACACAATTCTAACATTTTTGGCTCTATATACCACCACAATGGATTTGAAATTAAACAATCAAGATGTGATTTAACTGCAGACTGTCAGCTTTAATTTGAGGGTATTTACATCCAAATCGGGTGAACGGTATAGGAATTACAACAGTTTGCATATGTGCCTCCCACTTGTTAAGGGACCAAAAGTAATGGGACAGAATAATAATCATAAATCAAACTTTCACTTTTTAATACTTGGTTGCAAATTCTTTGCAGTCAATTACAGCCTGAAGTCTGGAATGCATAGATGTCACCAGACGTTGGGTTTCATCCCTGGTGATGCTCTGCCAGGCCTCTACATTGTCCATCTGCACTGTGAAGTGGCGTCCAATGAGTTGTGAAGCATTTGGCTGAATATGAGCAGATAATATTGCCCAAAACACTTCAGAATTCATCCTGCTGCTTTTGTCAGCAGTCACATCATCAATAACAACAAGAGAACCAGTTCCATTGGCAGCCGTACATGCCCACGCCATGACACTACCACCACCATGCTTCACTGATGAGGTGGTATGCTTAGGATCATGAGCAGTTCCTTTCCTTCTCCATACTCTTCTCTTCCCATCACTCTGGTACAAGTTGATCTTGGTCTCATCTGTCCATAGGATGTTGTTCCAGAACTGTGAAGGCTTTTTTAGATGTCGTTTGGCAAACTCTAATCTGGCCTTCCTGTTTTTGAGGCTCACCAATGGTTTACATCTTGTGGTGAACTCTCTGTATTCACTCTGGTGAAGTCTTCTCTTGATTGTTGACTTTGACACACATACACCTACCTCCTGGAGAGTGTTCTTGATCTGGCCAACTGTTGTGAAGGGTGTTTTCTTCACCAGGGAAATAATTCTTTGGTCATCCACCACAGTTGTTTTCCGTGGTCTTCCAGGTCTTTTGGTGTTGCTGAGCTCACCGGTGCGTTCCTTCTTTTTAAGAATGTTCCAAACAGTTGTTTTGGCCACGCCTAATGTTTTTGCTATCTCTCTGATGGGTTTGTTTTTTCAGCCTAATGATGGCTTGCTTCACTGATAGTGACAGCTCTTTGGATCTCATCTTGAGAGTTGACAGCAACAGATTCCAAATGCAAATAGCACACTTGAAATGAACTCTGGACCTTTTATCTGCTCATTGTAATTGGGATAATGAGGGAGGGAATAACACACACCTGGCCATGGAACAGTTGAGAAGCCAATTGTCCCATTACTTTTGGTCCCTTAACAAGTGGGAGGCACATATGCAAACTGTTGTAATTCCTACACCGTTCACCTGATTTGGATGTAAATACCCTCAAATTAAAGCTGACAGTCTGCAGTTAAAGCACATCTTGTTTGTTTCATTTCAAATCTATTGTGGTGGTGTATAGAGCCAAAAATGTTAGAATTGTGTCAATGTCCCAATATTTATGGACCTGACTGTATATTAGGGGTGAGGGGACGAGTCTGATACAGAAGCTTTTTGACCTTAAGGGAGAAGTACAGCCAAAGCTCTTTTGGCTGTAGTTCTCCTGTGGTTCACAGGAGTGCAGTTCATTCTGCACTCCTGTGACCCGGTTTCAGCTGAAAGTGGGCTGAAGCTTGGCTGACGTCATTCATCCGGTCCAGATTGGGGAAAGTGCAAATAGCAGTAACTAACAGTCACCGCCCTCTGTTCACAGCAGTGGTGAGAACTCAACAATCAGAAGTCATGTGATTGCTGAGTTCTCACCCTTAGAGCCGGCGGGGGACAGATGCAGCATCGAACTGAAGGTAAGTATGATTTAACAAAAAAAAAAAACTATTCTGTTACTTCTATTTTAATGCATAGTGTTCTGTCTCTCCAATCTAAGCATTGAAAGTGTGATCTCTGTAACTTACAGCTGTGTTGTGATGCGATAACGATAACTCCAATCTCAGTTGGATACCACAGGCAGTGACTCAATTGAGATGATATCTTGTAGATCTTGTGAAGTTTATTCCATAAACTGAGAGAATCTTACAAAAATGAGCATCTGATAGGTCAAAAGATCGTAATGTGACCTGCTTCATGACATGAGGCTAGAGCTGCAATGCATTTCTGGGAAAAGGGGCGGGCTATCTATACAGCATTAACTAAACCAAAGGAAAAGGAGGAACAGAGACAAAATATAGAAAACACTTAAAGGCATATGACAGTCACGTGAAACATGACACATAGAATGCATTCAGGTAAACAACCTTGAGGCTTTAGAACCACTTTAATTTTTAATGTCTGTATTGCTTTATTTATTTATTTTGTATTGGAAAAAATGTTCGTTCTTTGATGCTTAGATGTGACCCTTTTAGGAAACGGTTAGACTATGTAAACCATGCCCGTCGACTGGCAGAAGGGGACTGGACAAAGAAAGAGGAAGAGAAGATAGATGACAAGCAAGAAAAAGAAGATGAAGTGGGGGGCGAAGAGGAGATGGATGTGGATGCTGGCAAGAAGTTGCCAAGGCATTATGCTAACCAGGTCATTCACATGTAGTGCCTAATATGTTATTACTTAATATTCTCTATTTAGTATGTGCTATTATGGATTTGTTTCATATTTCTTGCTTAGTTTGTGTTTTTAACTCATTCTTTATGTATTGTCTTCTGGAACCTCCAGCTAATGCTGTCTGAGTGGTTGATAGAAGTCCCTCCAGACCTGGCTGATCTGTGGCTCCTTGTAGTGTGCCCCACTGGAAAGCGTTCCTTAATTGTGGCATCTAAGGTGAGTTATTTGTATTTATAACACAATATCCACATTAGACAGCTCCTGAAAAAGTCCTGCTTATCATACATTTAAAGCAACTTTTTCTCTTAGTCGGAATAGTAAATACAGTATGTTGGGTTGAATGTGTCGTTGGCATTACTTGTAATTATGCTTCAGCATTACACTGCTGTTTTTAATGAATCGAGTGCTGATTAGCATGCAGGGTTGAGAAATAATTACAGGGGTACTGCTGCTCAGCTCACTAGCATACGATCAATCCATACAGCTGCTCAGGTTGATATTTGAAAATTAGGATGGTGGCGGCATTTATCAAACTTGTTGCAGCTATTTTTCTGTTCATTTGCATTATGAAGTTTGCTATAAAATTATTAATGGAACTGAAATAGGCTTGCTTTCAGATCTATGTATTGTGCATTGGACTATTTATAGAAAGAAGTAAAATTCCAAACTTTAGGCTATTTCATTTTAGCAGTATATCATGTTCCTCGTTAGGCTGAATTTGGCTATTTGGAAAACATTGCAAAAATTTACTAAGACAATTTAGAGCAGGGGTCTCCAAACTATGGCCCTCCAGGTGTTGAGTAACTGCAAGCCTCTGACAACCACAGGCAAGACTCCCAGAGGCATTATGGGACTTGTAGTACTTTAACAGCTAGAGGGCCATAGTTTGAAGACCCCTGATTTAGAACATCTTTTTCAGCAGTTTTCAAGCTTACTAATTAACCCTTCATTTAAGCAAAGCTTGCTCTTTTGTCTTCTTTGGGCATGACTAATGTGGGCTGATAACATTTTGCTTGGGGGTTGCTAGCCCTTTATAATATACTTAATTGCATGAAAGTGATGGTTTGGAGCAGGCATCACTAAATGGCGGACCGCAGGCTGCAAACGGACTGAATGACAGTCCGATACGGACTACGGCTCCGCCACTTAGCAGCCTGGGATGTCCTCTGCCGGCTGATAGCCTTCTGCACAGGGTTGTGGAAATTTTTGAAAAAACTGCTTGTCTAGGGACTAAATTGGTTCCCCAATCTACCTGACATTTTACTTGTCCAGATAAAAAAAAAAAATACATTTAACCAAAACCGTATTTAAATTGGAGGTGATATTAGGAATGTCTGGGACTTTTAAAAACAAAAGGGTCTTTATGGTGACTTAAACGTGTAATATTTTTAACATTGCTCTGTTTATGTCCTCCCCTGCCTGTCTCCAGCTGCACCCAGGGACCAGCAGGGAGGAGAGAGACCTTGCAGTGTAATGAGCACCATTTGGCTGCTCCTCAGGAAAGGGTGGGTCAGGGCTTATCCTTTATCCCTTTCGCTGCCAAAGCTGTAAAATTTAATATAGGTACAATGTTGTATGACTGCACAATTGTCATTCAAAGTGCGACAGCGCTGAAAGCTGAAAATGGGCTTTGGAAAAAAGGGGGTATAAGTGCCCGGTAAGGCAAGTGGTTAAAGTTTGCTGCAGAACATTTAGACAAGTCAGTGAAATACTGGGAGAATATAGTCTGGTCAGATGACCAAAATTGAACTCCTTGGATGCCATAATACACACCATGTTTGGAGGTCAAATGCCACTGCACATCACCCCAAAAACACCATACCAACAGTGAAGTTTGGAGGTGGGAACATCATGGTATGGGGCTGTTTTTCAGCATACGGTACTGGAAAACTTCATGTCATTGAAGGAAGGATGAATGGAAAGATGTACCAAGACATTCTTAATAAAAAATCTGCTGCCATCTACCAGGATGATGTCTAGTCCCCTTCTGCCAGTCGACGGGCATGGTTTATATCTCAGCAAGACAATGATCCCAAACACAAAGCCAAGGAAACTCTTAGTTGGTTTCAAAGAAAGAGAATATAAAGCTGATAGCATGGCCCAGCCAATCTCCTGACTTGAATCCAATAGAAAATCTATGGAAAGAACTAAGGATCAGAGTTCATAGAAGAGGCCCATGGAACCTTCAATATTTGAAGACAGTTTGTGTGGAAGAATGGGCCAAAATTGCACCTGAGCAATGCATGTGACTAGTTTTTCCGTACAGGAGGCGTCTTGAAGCTGTCATTAACCAACAAAGGATTTTGTATGAAGTATTACATTTCAGTTAGCATGTCCAATACTTCTTCCCTGTGTCATTCCATGTTATTACACATAACCTAATTTTTTAACTTCTATGTTTTGGATTCTTTGTATGTTTGGATTGCATTGGTTGTTATTGAAAATTTCATGTCAATAGCACCTTTAGAAATCTATTTACTGAGAAAAATGGTGACGTGTTCAATACTTATTTTATCCACTGCAAATACATGCAATGAATAAATAAATTTGCATGGCTTGGTCCACTATCCTAAAAAGAGGAATAAACCCCTTAATTTTTGGGAAGTCATGGAAGTGAGACCCACAAAGAGTCTATTTTAAGAAGGCTCTACTGTGTTTGACTCTTCTGTAACACTCATTGCTGCTTTCTTGTTGTAGGTCAGTAACTCAAGTACTGAACCTAGATACAGCTAAACCACCTAAAGGAGAAGTACGGCCAAAGCTCTTTTGGTCATACTTCTCCTGAGGGTCACAGGAGTGCGCTTATTCAGCTTGCTGCTATGAGTCTGAGTCAGCTGCTCTCTCCCCTTCACAGTCCTGTGGTCCAGTGAGCACTGCTGGGGCAGAGCAAGGAGCTGTGACTAACAGTCACCCCTCTGTGCTCACAGTGGACCCGGGAACTGAGCTATCAGCGGTCTTTGATCGCTCAGTTCTCAGGGTAGTGCCGACGGGGGACAGCTGTAGCATCAAATCCATGCTGCAGCTATCTATGTGTGTATGATTGTTATTTTTAATTCCCACACTTCTCTTTTAAACATTTAGAAGAATGCCAAGAATGGCAGTCCCTATATTCTTCTCGTGTGCTTTTAATTAAGGCGTAGCTGTTAAGACTGGACACAAGTTATTTTACTGGTTATTTTAATTTTTACTACTCTTGATTCCGTTCTAGGGCTCCACTGCAGCTTATACTAAGAGCGGATATTGTGTAAACCGGTTTCCTTCACTCTTACCTGGTGGAAACAGACACAATTCCAGTGGCAAAGGTGAGGGTTTTGTTGTGTGTAGGCGATGAGAAGAGTAACTGGTATAATGTGCACTTTTGAGTTCTTAGTAACAGTAATCAGACAGTTTAGCATGGGAAAAAGCTAAAAAGATTCAATACATGTATGGTTTACTTCCACATATAATTTATGAAACTGGTAAATTTGTTAATCCAACATGTTTAAAAAAAGTCTTCTAATTAACTGTTGACATATGAGGTTTGTCTTGCCTCTGTTGACAACGCAGTTGAAAACTGAAAGCAGAATTCCAGGAAGTTAAAGCGGTGCTCCAGTCTCCTGTGAAAAAAATAAGTCAGCAGCTACAAATACAAGTAGCACTGCGCATTGTGAATGCTTCTGCAGTCTTCTGGGACCTGTCACGTGTCCCTGAAGACTGCGGGGGTGGGGGAGGAGAACTTCCACTTTCGAATGCCCAGGTGGGTTACCTATCAAAATTGAGTACCTGCCCCATCTACACCCCTACACCCCCCCCCCCCCCCCCACCCCACTCCCCAAAGGTGCCAGTTCTTAACAGGTTCAGCTTGAAGCGGAACTTCCCCTTTTGGGTGGAGCACCGCTATAGTATAACAGATTCTGGTATTTATACAAGAACTGTTTAAAGAAAAAAAAAAACATTACATTTTTTTATTTAATTTTGCCTGGAATTTGCTGTCTGTGCCCCCATTAGGGAGATTCACACTCTTTATTTGTCCTGTTTACTGTTCTCACCAATAGGTATTTGCTAACAGGCATGGTAAGTGTTTTGCAGATCTAATTTTTTGCCACGTTTTTGGAAAATGAAGAAAGGAAACAAAAAACATATTTTTTTTTTTTCTTTTTTTTCTTTTTCAAAACCCTGTGACAAAAATATATCTGTAAAATACTCACCATGCCTCTTATCAAATTCCTTGGGGTGTCTACTTTCCAAAAAGGTGTCATTTGGGGGGGGGGGGGATTTTGTACTATCCTGGCATTTTAGGGCCTCCGAAACTGTGATAGGTAGTGGGGAAGTGAGTGATATGAGGAAATGTGCGCTTTGAAAGCCTGGAGGTAGTAGATTGAATTTTGGGGGCTTGCATGTAGCTAGGCTGCCAAAAAGTACCCCCTTACTCGGAAGAAGTAGTAGAATGTGTTTTGGGGTGTTATTCCACATATACCCATAGCATGCATGAGCAATATATCATTAAAGTGACAACTTTATGTAGAAAAAAAAAATTGACATTAAAAAAAAAATTTGTGGCAAAAAATAAAATGTTCCATGGACTCAACATGCCTCTTTTCAAAATCCTTGGGGTGTCTACTTTCCAAAAAGTGTTTGTTTATCTGAGTCCCACCTATAGCATTAAAGCAATACTAAAGGTTCATTTTTTTTTTGTAAAATAACAAACATGTTAAACTTACCTGCTGTGTCTAGTGGTTTTGCACAGAGCAGCTTGGATCCTCCTCTTGTCGAGTCCCCCGCAGGCTCTCCTGGCTTTTCCTTTGTCGGGTGCCCCCATAGCAAGGAGCTTGCTAGGGGGACACACGCTGTTCTGTGTGTCCATTCATACACGGAACCACAGCTTAGCCCGCCCTGCTCATTTCCTGAATGGCTTTGATTGATTGACAGCAGCGGGAGCCAATGGGTCCCGCTTGCTGTCGCAGACAATGAGGATGCAGAGACCCGGGACAGCATGCACGTCGATGGATCGCAATGGGGCTCAGGTAAGTATTGAGGGGGCTGGGGGCACTGCTGCACACAGGTGGTTTTTTTTACCTTCATGCATAGAATGCATGAAGGTAAAAAACCTTGAGCCTTTACAACCGCTTTAATGTTTTACTACCTGTTGATCTTGCAGTAGATTCGCTAATTTTCCCATTACTGTAATAGCATGAGAGCGCTGTTTTGCTCTGCAGTGAAATCACATCGCAGCTTTTCTTAGATGAGCATGTAATTTTAAATAGATTTAAGTAGGAGACAAATTGAAATCCAACTCTAGCTAACGCTTTTTAAGCAACTACAGCATTTTTCCCCTTTCTTACATATTTAACTGCCTCCCGCCCACCATATAAGGAAATGATGGACAGGCGGTGGTTCTTTCGTTCTGGGAGGACGTCAAAGGACGTCCTCCTACTTTAACCCCGTGTGCGCGCCCCCGGGGGGCACTAGGCACGGCGATCGGTGGTGCGCTGTGTTCCTGGGATACAGCGGATCACCGATCAGCAGAAAGAGCCGATGACGTTTGCGCTGTCATGTGATCAGCTGTGTCCAATCACAGCTGATCGCATGTAAATAAGGAAATGCCGGTTATCAGTATTCCTCTCCTCACAAACTGTCACACTGACCGCTCGAGAGGAGAGCCGGTAATCGGCATTCCTCAGAGGGGACATGTACACTGATCATCAGGGCACTGATGATCAGTGTAGCTCCTTCATTGACACCTGTCAGTGTCCGTCAATGCCACCTGTCAGTGCCCATCAGTGCCACATCAATGCCATCGGTCAGTGCCACCTATCAGTGCCCATCTGAGCTGCATTTCAGTGCCATCTATCAGTGCAGGAAGGGGGTAAAATTACCCGGTAGGCAAGTGGTTAAAGTAGAACTAATGGCATTTGTTTTTTTTTTTTTTTGTTTTTTTTTTTTTTTGGATAGAGCAAGGAAGGGTTATAACCCGTCACATTTTTTTCGCCGTCTGTATCCCAAATTGAGAGGGTGAATGTCCTTAACGGGGGCACAGACATTAATGCTATATAGTTTGCTTTGACCCTTGAAACTGCCACTTTTTCTGGACAGCTTGGCCTGTTAAAGGAGGTACAAAATAACAGACCCGATGACAGGATATACAGGTAATAATACCATGTTACTGGAGGGTCTCAGAAAAACAAAAACTGCTGTGTTATTGCTATTTTCAGACTGCATCCTGTTTAATTTTAAAGGACAAGTTCACCTTTAAAAAAAATATTAGTATATGCACACTTTTTTTGGCAGGTGATCAGCAGTTTGTGGGTGCCATGTCAGGCTATTGAAGACTTTCAGATCACTGTCTTGCCTTTACCTCCAATACAGGCAGGCAGTTACTGAAGTCTTGGAAGCTCAAAGGCCTATGAGAGCGCTCGCCAGCATCCTTGCAGTTCATTGAAAACTACTGTATAAGCCATCAGCTCAAAGGCTGATTGTATTTGTAGGCATTCATTCACAGAACTCTGTGAATTAATGACGCAGCCACATGGGCTGAGCCTTGCGCAGACACACTCTTTTTAAATTGTGACAGTGGGTGCAGGGAGAAGATCCCCCACCCCCTCCACGGGGGCGGATCGGGGGGGGTGAAGTGGTGGATGCTCAACGTGTTACACCCTAAAATACAGGATCTGATAGAATATTGTTGGACCAGTGTAAAATGTAATTGCATTGTTATTGCCTTTCCATGTCGATTACATTTATTTTCTTTATTGTGCAGAAAATAGTACCAAAACCTAAACATCTGTCTGTCCTCTGCAGATTACACCATTTTGGACTGCATATACAACGAGGCATCTCGGACTTATTATGTGTTAGATGTCATGTGTTGGAGGGGGGCATCCAGTTTATGATTGCCAGGTAAGTGTATTTTTAACTTGTAACTGTTGTAATATGTTACATCAAAGTTTGGCTGAGCTATATGAAATATGAAGTACTGATAGCATCCCAGTTTGACTCCAAGCTATTTGTTGCTGGTTTGTGTATATCTGTTTTCCCAAGTATAGTATATAAGAACAAATCTGTTACTGCGGCCATTCACAACAGGCTTCTTTCACGTGGGTTTGGAGATGCAGAAAAAACAAGCATTTTTTAGCTGCATTTTTAATGCTCACGTAGCACCTTGCCAGTGCACTAGGTAATTAAAACAATGGCAGGGAGACAGTTTTGCTTTGTGCCTCTCAACCATTTTAGGGCATGTCTAGGCTTTGCCGCAACCTGTTGGCTTCATATATTCAATTGCAGTGTGCCAAAATGCACCTGTGGTGTTTTTGATGGGTTCAGTGCACATTTTTGATCAAATTTCCTCAGATCTCTTCCCCTTATGAAAAATACTGAACTGGCTCACTCGGGCTGTGTATTACACATACGGACCGCTACACTGGCAGCCCAGTGCATCTTGGCCACTATGTGTAGTGTGGGGTCTGGACGTGTGGCCATGATATTTTAAGTTTTTTCACCTTTTTAATTTTGTATGAAAAGGTGAACTTACCCTTTAAAACATTTTATGTTCAGCACACACTGCGAGATCTATTGTTTTCTGGTGTTTTATTGCAATGCTTTACAGCAGGTAAAAGGTATTGAACATGGTCACCATTTTTCTAGGTAAATATATTCTAAATATATTTTGTTATTAACATGAAATTTGCCCTTCATGTCGGTAACCAGGGGCGTATCTGCTGCGAGGCAAACAAGGCATCTGCCTTGGGCGGCACTTTTCAGGGAGGGCGGCACGCCCCCCAGGCAGAAGAGACCAGTGCTGTCTGTCAAAGGTGCAAAGGGTGTGTGTGTGTGTGTGTGTGTGTGTGTGTGCGTGTGTGTGTGTGTGTGTGTGTGTGTGTGTGTGTGTGTGTGTGTGTGTGTGTGTGTGTAGAGGCGAGGAGACAGAGAACCTGTCAGCTATGGAGCCGCTGGAGAGGGGGCCGGCACATAGAGGACCGTGCATTTCTCTCTATGCTCTATGTGCCGCCAGTCACTTCCCCTATCCATCTCCTGCATATGGTCAGGTCCTGTATGCTCCCCCACGCCCCCCCCCCCCCTCCTTAAAACACTGCAGGGGATCTGTCAGCATATGCAGTCTCAATCACACAGACGGGAGAGGAGAGAGAAAGCTGTCCCTGCTCCTCCCACCCTCTCCTCCTCCTCTGTTTCCGCCCACACTTCTGGCCAGCCTTGTGTATTCTTCCCCCCCCCTCTCTCTCTCTCTCTCTCCTCTCTCTCTACCCCTCCCTCTCTCTCTCTACCCCTCCCTCCCTCTCTCTCCCCCTCTCTCTCTCTCCCTCCCTCCCTCCCTCTCTCTCCCGCCCCATCATTGGTGTCAGTGGGAGGAATAGTGCCCCATCACTGGTGGCAGTGTGGGAGGAATCTGCCCCATCACTGGTGGCAGTGTGGGAGGAATCCCCATCACTGGTGGCAGTGTGGGAGGAATAGTGCCCCATCACTGGTGGCAGTGTGGGAGGAATAGTGCCCCATCACTGGTGGCAGTGTGGGAGGAAGAGTGCCCCATCACTGGTGGCAGTGTAGGAGGAAGAGTGCCCCATCACTGGTGTCAGTGTGGAGGAAGAGTGCCCCATCACTGGTGGCAGTGTAGGAGGAAGAGTGCCCCATCACTGGTGGCAGTGTGGAAGTAATAGTACCCCATCACTGGTGTCAGTGGGAGGAACAGTGCCCCATCACTGGTGTCAGTGTGGAAGTAACAGTACCCCAGCGTTGGTGTCAGTGGGAGGAATAGTGCCCCATCGGTGTCAGTGGGAGGAATAGCGCCCCATTGTTGTCAGTGGGCGGGGCTCTAACAGGAGGAGGTGGCGTCTAAATAGGAAGGGGTGGGGTTTACAGATGACGGGGTGGATCTTAAACAGGAAGGGGTGGGGAAAATTTAGATGCGGGGGGGGGGGGTGCCCGATTTTAGTCTTGCCTAGGGCAGCACAAAACCAAAATACACCACTGTCGGTAACAACCCATACAATCCACACATGCATTGAAACCAAAACAAATAAGTTCAGAAATTAAGTTTTTTGTGTAATAAAATGGAATGACACATGGAAAAAGTATTGAACACACGAAGTAAGGGAGGTGCAAAAAGCCATGGAAAGCCAAGACACTTGCTGAAATCTATCAGTAATTGGAAAGCAATCCTTCCCCTTATCATTGCAAATTAATATCCGCTAATTCAGTCCCAACTGATGGCCTATAAAAAGGTGTCTGTGTCACACAAGAAACATCTCATGGTAGGTAAAAAGCAAAGAGCCCTCTCAAGACCTTCGCAACCTTATTGTTGCAAAACACTGATGGAATTGGTTACAGAAGGATTTCTAAGCTTCTGAATGTTCCAGTGAGCGCTGTTGGAGCCATAATCCGTAAGTGAAAAGAACATAATTTCACTATAAACCTGCCACGACCAGGTGCTCCTCACAAGATTTCTGAGAGAGGAGTGAAAAGAATTATCAGAAGTGTTGTCCAACACCCAAGGACCACTTTTGAAGAGCTTCAGAAAGGCCTGGAATTAGCAGGTACAATTGTTTCAAAGGAAACAATAAGTAATGCACTCAACCTCCTTGGCCTGTATGCACGCTCACCATGCAAGACTCCATTGCTGAAATAAAGCATACTTAACCACTTCCAGACCGGACACTTTTACCCCCTTCCTGACCAGGGCAATTTTCAGCTTTTAGCGCTATCACACTTTGAATGACAATTGCGCGGTCATGCAACACTGTACCCAAATGAATTTTTTACCATTTTTTTTAGATAGATAAAGCTTTATTTTGGTGGTATTTATTCACCACTGGGATTTGTATTTTTTTTGCTATGTAAATGAAATGTCCAAAAAATTTTTTAAAAAAGTGTTTTTTTTAATAAAATTTTGCAAATAAATAATATTTCATCATAAATCTTAGCCAAAATTTATTCCGTTATCTTTTTAGTAAAAAAAAAAAATCCAAATTAGTTTATAAGCAAAAATTTTTTTTACATTTTTATTTTATTTTTTTATATTATTATTTTTTATTTTTATTTTTTTTTTTTACATACTGTCACCCTAGCAGTACAGTGTCACCATGGTGACACTGTACTACTTGTGAGGGGTGATAAAGATTTTTTTTTTTTTTTACACTGATTGCTTTTACACCCATATAGGATGTAAAAGCAATCATTTCTCTTTCTCTCTGTGTGCATTCCTGCACTCATTGAGAAATACAGAGTGAGCTGTGATTGGTCACAGCTTGTCACATGGTACAAGGCTTTTGTGAATAGCCTTGTACCCTGTGACCTCTGTGATCATTCACAGATTTCACACATAGTAAGCAATGATGTCAGAAGTGACATCTTGCTTACTACTTTGCATGTGATCACTGATTGGCCAATTAGTGATCACATGATCGGGACCTCGTACAGAGGTCCCGTCCGACGATCAGTGTTTCACTGTGTCCGGAGGACACAGCGGGCACCGGATCGTGGTGCTGCGCGCTCCCAGGGAGCGCGCACAAGCAGGGTGCGGGGAGGCCGTTTATAGACGTCTGGCCACCGTCTGGCCGTTTATATACAACGGCCGGTCGGGAAGTGGTTAAGCTACTTTAAAGTTTAAAAATCCTGGGAGAATATAGTCTAGTCAGATGAGACCAAAATTGAACTGGGATCATCATGGTGTGGAGCTGTTTTTCAGCATATGAATGTTCCAGTGAGCACTGTTGGAGCCATAATCAGTAAGTACTGGCAAACTTCATGTCATTGAAGGAAGGATGAATGGAAAAATGTACCAAGACATTCTTTATAAAGATCTGCTGCTATCTACCAGGATGATGAAGAAGAAACGAGGGTGGACATTTCAACAAGACAATGATCCCAAACACAAAGCCAAGGATACTCTTAACTGGTTTCAAAGAAACTAAAACTGCTAGTATGGCCCAGCCAATTATCTGACTTGAATCCAATAGAAAATCTTTGGAAAGAACTAAAGATCAGAGTTCATAGAAGAGGCCCATGGAACCTTCAAGATTTGAAGACTGTGTGGAAGAATGGGCCAAAATCACACCTGAGCAATGCATGTGACTAGTTTCTCCATACAGGAGGTTTCTTGAAGCTGTCATTACCAACAAAGGATTTTGTACCAAGTATTAAATAAATTTCAGTTAGCGTGTTCAATACTTTTTACTTGTGTCATTGCATTTTATTACACATGACTTAATTTCTGAACTTATTTGTTTTGGTTTCTTTGTATGTATGGATTGCATGGCTTGTTACTAACGTGGTGACATATTCAATACTTATTTTACCCGCTGTATATCATGTTAACACACGGTAGGGTTGGTTTAATAAAAGAAGAGACCCATTTCACAAATTGAGTTTTCACTTAATTTAGTAATCAAGTTGCATCTGTGTTTAATTAAACTTGCACAGGTTTAGGTATTTAGAGTAAACAATAAAAAGAGAGACAGAAAAGGGGGAAAACACAGGATTTTTCTTATCATGTGATTGAATGATTGATGTGAACATAGCTTAGGCTTATCCACGAAGCTAAGGGAATATTCAGTTTGCAAAAGTGATTAGTTTTTTACTTTAATTTAAAGGGATATTACAGGCAATTAAAAAAAAAAACAAAACAAACAAACATTATACTTAACTGTCTGTGTTTTTGCACAGAGCAGCTCCGATCCTCCTCTTCCTCCAGTCACCTGCCAGTGCTGGCCCTTCCCTCCTGCCCATTGTGCCTAGAGCAAGCAGCTAGCTACTACCTCTTGAGCTGCTGCTCTGCGTGTCCATTCACACACAGAGCTGAGGCTTGGCCCTGCCCCCCTCTCTCCCTCATTTGCTCACTGGCTGTGATTGATAGCAGTCTCGGCCAATGAGGAGGGGAGAGTCCCCAGAGAGCCGAGGCTCTCGTGCACATCGCTGGATCACAGTGGGGCTCAGATAAGTATTATGGGGGCTGAGGGGGCTGCTGCACACAGAGGGTTTTTATTTTTACCTTTTTATGCATAGGAAAAAACCTTGAGCCTTTACAACCACTTTAAAGCTTAACTCCAAGCAAATTTAAAATACACATATTTATGCAGTATTGTAGTAATTCGTATTACTTGCTATCAGCCTCTTGCAGTCCACAATAAAGTAGATTGGAAGATGGACTGGGAACCGGTTGGGTGTGCTGCATGCAAGTGCATTGATAGTATGCATGTACCAGGTGATGATGTTATCAGTTGGCTGCTGCTCTTTCACTGTCCAATTTGCTGGCTGGGGGTATAGAGAGGATACCACAGTGTTCTGATTTGTGTGGATGGGGCCGCCAGGAGCTTTTTGCTGACAGCCTATGTTACTTTATGGAGACACAGTAGCTGTGCAGCACTGACACACATCCTAATTTGACAGGGGTGTAGGACCATCTGCCCTTGCACTTTTGTCAGATTGGGATGTTTGGCTGTGTCAGCATAGAGTAACAATGGCTGCCTATGCACAGTTCCCAGCAGCACCAGCCGCATAACGAAAAAGCTCATTAATGTTGTACGGACCCCAGCGGCTGTGTGAATGAGGCCTAACTGGCCAAGCTTTGCTTCGTGGCCAAGCTGTATTACTGCCAGGACTGGATAAACCAAAAATACAAAACATTTGGCAGGTAAATGGTTCTCTATGTATTTCATTTGGTATAACACTGGCTTCTCTATGTAGATTTTCTGCCCATTTCCTTTAGTAGTGCAAGGGCCTGCCTAATATACACTGAAAGTGTTGTTTAGTTCCTCCTATTATATGGTTTTTGGTAAATCTAAACTCTTTAATTGTATAATGTAGCCACAATCAGCTTTTAAAAACAATCTGTTTTTTTTTTTTTTTTTTTCAAGACTGATTTTCGCTTTTATTGGCTTCAGTCAAAACTTCTGGAACAAGATGGACTTGGCGATATTTCCAAACTGAACCCAGTAAGTAGCCTGACACTAGGTCATAAGTCATGTAGCAGGTACTGATTTCTTTTTTCTTGGTTATTTACCAGTCTGATACTTTTTTTTTTTTTTTTTTTTTTTTAAAGTTCAAGTTTATTGGATTGCAAAACTTCCCATGCGGCCTGGATTCCATACAGAATGTTCTAATTCAAACATTTCCCTACTCGGTATGACGTGTACTGTGTTGTAGTTTATCATGAACTATAGGCCTTTTATTAAATTGTCTGCAATAAGAATATCCTGTGTTACCTGATACTGACCAATAAGATTAACATCTTAACTTGAAAATTACTGTTTAAATCTAATGGGTTGCTTTGGTTCAGTAGACAATTTCTTATTTGGTTGAAGACATGTACACTTTATCTGTGTTTATTACCTTATATCCTATACTTCCAAGTATGCTAATGCTATGCAAAAATATGAACTCAGTCAGCATTAACTGTTTTTAATCCTTATGCAGCTAGCATTAGGAAATAGATAGGAAGGTATATTATATTTTCCTCTTTTAACCTTTGTTTTGTACATTTCTTCAGTTCCATCCTGCTTTCTGGCCTAGGTGAAAATTATGTACAGTGGGGATCGAAAGTTTGGGCACCCCAGCTAAATATTTGTATTAATGTGCATAAAGAAGCCAAGGAAAGATGGAAAAATCTCCAAAAAGGCATCAAATTACAGATTAGACATTCTTATAATATGTCAACAAAAGTTAGATTTTATTTCCATCATTTACACTTTCAAAATAACCGAAAACAAAAAAATGGCGTCTGCAAAAGTTTGGGCACCCTGCAGAGTTAATATCTTGTACTGCCCCCTTTGGCAAGTATCACAGCTTGTAAACGCTTTTTGTAGCCAGCCAAGAGTCTTTCAATTCTTGTTTGAGGTATCTTTGCCCATTCTTCTTACAAAAGTCTTCCAGTTCTTTGAGATTTCTGGGCTGTCTGTCACGCACTGCTCTTTTAAGGTCTATCCATAGATTTTCAATTATGTTGAGGTCAGGAGATTGTGAAGGCCATGGCAAAACCTTCAGTTTACGCCTCTTGATGTAATCCCCCATGGATTTTGAGGTGTGTTTAGGACCAATATCCATTTGTAGAAGCCATCCTCTCTTTAACTTCAGCTTTTTCACAGATGGCATCAAGTTACCATCCAAAATTTGCTGAAATTTTATTGAATCCATTTTTTTTTTCTACTCGTGAGATGTTCCCTGTGCCACTGGCTGCAACACAACCCCAAAGCATGATTGATCCAACCCCATGCTTAACAGTTGGACAGAGGTTCTTTTCATTAAATTCTGTGCCCCTTCTTCTCCAAACGTACCTTTGCTCATTCCGGCCAAAAAGTTCAATTTTAACCTCATCGGTCCACAGAACTTGTTTCCAAAATGCATCAGGCTTGTCTGTATGTTCATTTGCAAAGTTCAAACGATGATTTTTGTGGTGAGGACGTAGAAGAGGTTTTCTTCTGATGACTCTTCCATGAAGACCATATTTGTACAAGTATCTCTTTATAGTGGAATAGTGTACCACAACTCCAGTGTCTGCCAGATCTTTCTGGAGGGATCGTGCAGTCAAACGTGGGTTTTGAATTGTTTTTCTCACAATCCTGTGAGCTGTTCTGTCTGATATTTTTCTTGGTCTTCCAGATGTTGCTTTAACTTCCACTGTTCCTGATGATTGCCATTTCTTAATTACATTTCGAACAGAGGATATTGACATCTGAAAACGCTTTGCTATCTTCTTATAGCCTTCTCCAGCTTTGTGAGCGTCAACTATTTTCAGTTTCAGTTTTCTAGACAACTGCTTAGAAGAACCCATGGTGCTGATTGTTGGGGCAAGGTCAGATGAGTCTGGGCATTTAAAACCTTTGAGCTTGACATGACCTGGTCTTCCCAGACGATGATTGAGAACAATCCATGACACTGGCAGGTCTCAGATTTGCAAAGGGGGCAGTGCATGCTATAAATTCTGCAGGGTGCCCAAACTTTTGCAGATGCCATTTTTTTGTTTTCTGTTATTTTGAAAGTGTAAATGATGGAAATAAAATCTAACTTTTGTTGACATATTATAAAAATGTCTAATCTGTAATTTGATGCCTTTTGGAGATTTTTCCATCTTTCCTTGGCTTCTTTATGCACATTAATACAAATTTTTAGCTGGGGTGCCCAAACTTTCGATCCCCACTGTAATTCTTCCCATCAGTCTTCTTGGGCATTTTTTTTTCTTTCATCTGGAAGAGGGGAGGAAGAGCTTTCTCCACTAAGTACATCCTCTTGGTCTGCAGGCCTGAGCTAAGCGCAGATGGATTCCAGGAAATAAATGCTACGTAAATCATCTGCCCTTACTCAAGATGGCCATGGCTAGAAATGCTAGGGGGTGTTTTTCAAAGAGATATCTCCAGCAAAAGAAAGCATAGACAAATGGATGGAGGGTGATCAGATACAGTTTAGTTCTGTCTGAAATAATTATTACAGACGTAGGGATTTATTTACCCTACTATTTAGCTTTCTTTGCCTAAAGATGAATTAGGGCGTCTATGTGCAAAGCCCCTGAGATTCACCAGCTGTCATGTCAGATTCTCATACTTAACATTACATAAACTTCCAGCTCCAAAATAACAATAACAGCATCAAACACAAATCCCTGTAGTTTACTACTCTGCTGAAGAGAAAAATCAGCCATTTTGAAATATCACCTTCAAATAAATGTATGCAGTGAACTCTGGATAGTACCATTATCCATTTAAAGGTGATATTTACATTTTACACTTATGCTGAGTATGCTGCCAGAGACTGTGACAGTTAAGAGTAGACCCTTGATCAGTAACCTGTTTTAACCAGATTTTTGATCCTTCATTCAGTAGTGGTTAATTGACCAAATATCCAACTTCACAGCAAATTCTTATGAAGACTTTATTCCTCATTGTGTGAAAAACTCTGTAGATGGTCTCAAACCTGACCATTGTTGCCTTGGTTATGTTTTGTGATTATTAGTACCACATCTAAAATGATAAATTTTGTTTTAAAAGTGAGCCTGTACTCAACTTACATCTTAACAGTAAGGGCTCATTACACTTGCTTTGCTGTTTCAAGCACAGCCATGCAGATTGGGGGGGGTGGGGGGGGGGGGTTGCACACAGCAAGCGGTATATCCCACAGAGCACAATGGTATATAATTCCTGCTGCTGTGTATGTACACCCTGGCCATGCTGCTGCCTCTGCATCAAAAGGGGGAGCGGTTGAGGAATGATAAAAACACTGCTCAGCCGTGGGGTTTTACCTCCCCGCAAGTGCAAATGAGGCACAAAGTCTTGAATAAGACTAGATACCACAGTCTACCCACCTGTTACCTTTTATTAGTCAAACGATTCTCTTTTGTGACCCTTCAGTTTCACCTGACCTTCCATGGCATAATGACTAAACCCTGCCAACTGCCAATGGCACTGCTTAAACAGTTAAAGCAGGTTTTTTTCAATTAATTTTTCTTATTCAAATGTTTTTAATTCACATGTACAAAAGCACTGGCAACAAACCAGACAAGTAAGAAACTGCCACCTGAAACTAGTGCAGCATACTTCTCATCCTAAGCGTGAGTTTGTATGCAAGTACAAAAACTGATTGAAGACAGAAATAAAGAGTCCAAACACCTCTCCAGGGAGTGAGGAGCAAAGAAAATTCTGCAGAAGGGCAAATCCAGTACACTATAGCATATGTAGACAATCGGGTCAAACTCTGTATATTCTAAAAATTAACAGTAAGGACAGAATATAGTACAAGGTTATCAGTCATAGGTAGTAAAAGGAGAGTTAGGCTATGTTCACACTAGCGTTGTGTGCAGGCAGCAGAGAGGCGTTTTGGAAGCGTTTTTACCGCTTCCCAAACGCCTCTGCCAATTCTGCACATTACAGCACGTGCTGTTCTAACGGGAGCGTTTGCGTCGCTGCAAAATGGACGCCTCTGGTCGAGTCAGGAGGCGTTGAAGCCTCCTATTCTAGTCTATGGTGCCGCTCCGCAAACGCCCGGCCGGCGGTTGCGGGGCATTTGCGGAGCGGTAACACCACTCAAACTGCATTATAGGCGTTTGTGGGGCGTTAACGCTCGGCAAACGCCTAGCAACCGTGCTAAACCGCACATGCGGCATTTGCCGAGCGTTAAAAAACGCTCCGCAAATGCCAGACCAACGATTGCCAAACACTATAGGGGCGTTTGGCAAGCGTTGGTAAAACAGCCAAGTGTGAACGAGCCCTTAATCCACTCACCCCAAACCTTGTCAGACTTGAAGAGTATTCTATTTAAATATGTGGTTTTGTAGAAGAGAAGAGCTGTACTCAACAAGGCTTTCCAGGCTGCCATGGTAGGCGCCAGAGCCATCTTCCAGGACAAGACAATAAGTTTCCTAGTGTAGTATAGAGCAGCAGCATGGGCAAAGAACAAAGGGCATTAGTAGGTGCCATAGCATCTACTAGGCTTAAAAAAAACATAATCTAGCGGAGGGAGTATGAGGAATGGCACTAGTGTCATCAGTGTGAATCCCAACCATGGCACTACCTGCCTGGAGTTTGCATGTTCTGCCTGTGAGGTTTCCTCCAGGTACTCCAGTTTCCTCACACACTTCAAAGACATGCTGGTAGGTTAATTGGCTCCTGTCTAAATTGGCTCTAATTTGTGTATGTATCAATGTGAGTTAGGGACCTTTTAGATTGTACGCTCCTTGAGGGCAGGGACTGGTGTGAATGTACAATATATATCCAAAGCTCTGCGTAAATGATCAGCGCTGTATAAGTACCTATACTAAATAAATAAAATAGTAGTTATCGTCAGACCAGTATGTCTAACCAATAGCATTGAATAGCTGAGCAATCCCAGAAAATGGGTATGAAAGCATCATTAGCATGAGAACAGCAATAAAAGCATACTTGTGCAGGGTCATGGCAGTTGGTGGAACTTTTGTTGATGGAACAGTAGAAGGTAATAGTAGGCCCCTTGTTTTGTCTTCTATTAGATAGGACTTTTATTTTTAAAATTTTAAATTTGAGTATTGATGTAATAAAAGGTATGAGTAGGTTCCAAGGTAGTTGTAACAAAACCATGTCAAATTCATATGTCACGCCTGTCATGTTTTTATTCAATTGTAGGTGGATGGACTTCTTTTCTACCACAAGCACACCCACTACACTCCGGGAAGCACTCCACTGGTAGGGTGGCTGCGGCCATATATGGCTCCTGACATACTGGGCTTCACTCCCCAACCAGGACCCCTTACAGAGAAGCCAGCATATGCAATGGAGCAAATGAGGCAGATCCTAGAACACAAGAAAGAAGGGAAGGGAACAGCAGAAGGTGGACGATATGAACTAGAACACCTCTCCACGCTCCCTTCAGCTCCATCAGTATTAAGTGAAGGGCAAGAAGGAGAGAATGGATCAAAGACTTGTGTCAACCAAAACTCCTTCAGTTCCACTGGAATGGATTCGTCTTGAGCTGTGATGCCTACTTATACTCTACTGTGGCATGGCTGTTTGCATTACCTTCAGTGGATTGTCTTTGTCTCTTACAGACATCGCTTTCTCTGTCACAAGGAACATTTATTTAAATTTGCCAATGCAGTAACTATTTGTACAGTGTTTAAGGGATTTCTAATAAATTTTTTTATTAAGAAAACAAATCTATTGCTCATGAGAGCAATGTGAAGTCTTATTTGTCAACAGATATTTTACGTTGTCTTCTAAGATTGCTAGAAGAGCTTTACACTATAAGCTTAGAGAAGAATGAAATCTATTCAATCAGTTATGAATATTATAACAAAATATGATCTATACAGACCTTACCTATGGTTCTGTCAGAGATTCCTTGAGCAGTGGTGGATAGATTTCCCACATGACGGTGCCTGCAGAGTTCCGGTACTGATAACACTCACCAATGGGCACTACTCTGACTACCTAAATAACACCACTCTTCCCCAATGACCACCAATTTATCAGGACATACTTTCCCACCAACATCAGCATAAGGAGGAACCTTGCTTGACCACCAAACTAAAGGGAAACTTTTCTTTAGGTGGTAAAGGGGTGCTTTTTTTTTTTTTTTCTCCTTCCCAACCTCCATTGTAAGATAAGCACTATTCCACTGTTGACCACCAATAAAAAGGGCATTTCTTCAGTGCCCATCCATATAAATTTTCTTTTCTTTTTTGGGCAGTATTCTGATTTTGTGTGTAAATATTACTGAAAGTGATATTGTCGTTTTTTAAATTGTATTTATTTCAGGTACTTATATAGCACTGTCAGGGGCAGACTGACAACTCATGGGGCCCCCGGGCAATAGGGGATCATGGGACCCCTGTGTCCTTGCCCAAACTCAAAAAAGCTTATGAAAAAGGTACCAGGGGCATCTCATGGGGCCCCCTACTGATCCCGGGCCCTCGGGCAGTGCCCGAGTTTCCAAATGGTCAGTCCACCCCTGAGCACTGTCAATTTACGCAGCGCTTTTACATATGTATTGTACATTCACATCAGTCCCTGACCCTCAAGGGGTGTACAATCTAAAGTCCCTAACTTACATTCATATACACATACATACTAGGGCCAGTATAGACATGATCCAATTAACCTACAGACATGTCTTTGGAGTGTGGGAGGAAACTGGCGTACCCAGAGGAAACCCACACAGGCAAAGAGAGAACATGCAAACTCCAGGAAGGTGGTGCTGCGGTTGGGATTCGAACCAACGACCCTAGTACTAAATATACCATGAGCTGTAAATTTAATAACGTTTAGTAATGGTTCTCTGAGACCTTTAGATTATTTCAAGGGTTCCTATAAGATAAAAAGGTTGGGAAAGGCTGGTTTTATGTTTAGGCAGGCCATAGACAAAGTGAATTTATTTCCTGAAACCATGAGGAGTGTTGGTGTTGACAAGGGGGATCCCTCCTAGCAGGGGAAGCTGTCCCTGCTGAGAGAACACTGATTACTGCTAGCGATTGTAACAGCTACTAGTGATCATCGCATGTAAAATCTGGCAGGCTAGCTGTACCCAGGTTGATCGATCAATACCAATTAGCAATGGCAATGTTTATATTTTCTTTAGTATAGGTTTAATTTTTGTACTTCGTAAGAGGCACCACAAGTTTACCTTTAAGGCAACCTTTAATGAGGGAAACACATTGCAAAAGCTAGATTCCTAGCTGCTACATTTGCTTCCTGGATTCAATATGTTGAGTCAGATATGCAGATAAAGACTTAGGGGCATTACAGCCAGGCATCCTCTATATATCTGTCTTTACAAGTTTAAATCTGAACTGAATCTGAAGGAATTATTTGTATTGCATATTGTCATCTTGGTCCAGCTTGGTACAATGCAAGTTACCTGATGGATCACTTGGAAAGCTGATATGCACTGTAATGGTGCAACTACAGCGATAGCCACAATCTTCTAGGTCCTGCTCAGGTTCTCTGCATGCAGCTGTCCCACTTCACACACTGATCACAGGGGGTTAATTGCTCAGGACTGTCATTCATAGAACGTCTCATATTTTTTCAATGAATACAAGGCACTGGGGGAGATTTACCAAACTGGTGCACTCAATGTGGTTCACCTGCAAATGGTAGCCAGTCAACTTTTAACTCCAGCTTATTCAATTAAGCTTTGGCAATAAAACCTGGGAGCTGATTAGTTTCTAAGCAGAGCAGCACCAGATTTTGCACACTCCAGTTTTAGTAAATAACCCCCATTGCTTGATTAGATGATCTCAAGATTGTGATGTTACTGACCATCCTCTCCAACTTGTTTAGTCATCGAACCCCTTATATTCACTGAAGCAATGCAGTATGCAATACAAATAATTTCTGAAGTTAAGCTTTTAGATTTTTGTCTCACAGAAGAAAGGAATTATTTGCTACTGCCAAAAGCCCGAAAAGGGTAGATCATCAGTGAGACAGGCACCCACATGGTGTGCTATTAGGATAGGGAAGTATCTAACTCCTGTAAAGGAATCAGGTCCAACGTAAGTATGCTGTTTAAGAGCTGGCCTGAGAGGTAAAACGATCATCTTTTATATGGCACAGTCATACTCTGTAGCACTTTACAGCAGGATATACACATTTTATGTTAACCGCTACTTTTTAACTGTACAGACCAAAAGAAAAGAGAGCATGGATCGTTTTATGTGTCTTGAACTCTGGTAAGTCTTCTGACATCTTTTTTACATTCCCTGCACACATACTTCCCCCTAGAGTTTGTTTGTTGAATTAAGGCACAAGCGGCCAAAAGGAAGGAGACAAAAATAATTAAATGACATTTAGCTACAGTCCGAGGCATACAGTACATTTCTTATGGATTTTTATCAATACAGAACTCTGTGACCATGGTTGTGGTAGCAGCTGCACCGGTTACATATTTCAGGTCTGGACGACTCTCCCTAAAATCTCAGAGCTATATATTTGTTTCCTTACTCCAAACAGCTAGTAAGATTAGAATAGCAAATTCAAAGAATAAAATGTCACGCACCCCAGCAGTGTCCTCCATTCACAGTGCAACTACTTCTTTGGCAATCACTTCAGTTATGCTGTGTATTGGAGAGGTCCTGGAAGCAAAAACTTGGGGTGACCTGTACAAGGCAGTAGCTGTACTGCGTAGCCGGTATGGAGGAAAGGAGAACACTGCCTAGGAGAGAAAGTTCCTGTCTATTAATCACCTAGCCTTAAGCAGTACTTCTCATTTGCCACCGACTCTTTCCAGTTGTCATGGGGACCTGGCAACTGGGAATTGTCCATCGCTGCTGTGTGTGTGCTAGGAAAGTCAGATTCTGGTCAGTTTTGCAAATTGTTCTCTAATTACCTTATAAGTAATCGCTTTCTATTCAGTAAAAAAAAAAAAAAAATTCTGAATGGCAAAAGGGGCTGTGCGAATGGCTCTCTGCGTTCCGTGTACCAGATGGGAAGTCGATGCAGCAGCATCCAGGACAAGACAGGATTAAAACAAATGGTCACAATTTAGAATCTATATAGACATCTCTTGAGCTAAAGACTAAAGAAATTTAGCATCTAGATGCTTATACATTCCCGATAAAACTACATAAACATGAAATTCTCCATATAAATTTAGTCTTCTACCCTCAGGGAGTAGGGGTGTAGTTTCCTTCCACCTAATAAGATGAGTAACCTGATAACCTATGGGGTTGGCAACCTTTCAATTATTTATATGCCTTATTATTATTATTGGTACTTGTATAGCGCCATCAAATTATGCAGTGCTTTACATATACATTGTACATTCACATCAGTCCCTGCCCTTGAGGAGCTTACAACCTAAGGTCCCTAACTGACATTCACACATACTAGGGCCAATTAACCTACCAGCATGTATTGGAGTGTGGGAGGAAGCCTGAGTACACGGAGGAAACCCACATAGGCATGAATATGCAAACTCCAGGCAGGTAGTGCCATGGCTGGGACTTGAACCAAGGACCCTCGTGCTGCCAGACAGAAGTGCCAACCACTAAGCCACTGTGCCTTATGATTTGTATACAATTCCCCCTATGCTGTATATTTCCTTTATTATTTTTCAGCCCAAGGGATCCAAAAATATAAAGACTAAATTTATATGGAGACTTTCATGTTTATGTAGTTTTGTATATGATATATTTACATTCCTTTTTTCCCCTCTTTTTGAAGGGATATATATAATCTTTCTCCCTTTTAAACCTATATATGTTTGTGATTAAGCATTCGTGACAGGTAATATTATCATCTTGATATGTGAATTTATTTAAATGTGTATGGATGTATTTTATGGATATTGGTTTTGTATTTCTTTTGATTCTGTACTTTTCTTATAATTTATAGTACCCTGTATTACCTGGGGCTATGCCCATTTGCAAAGTATAAACTGGAATCACTACAGCTTCTTATGACACTACGCTGCTGTAATGTGATATTTTTTAATATATATTTTTAAAGTGTTGTACAATAAACATGTATATTTTTTATATATAATTTCTGGAGTGGTACCTTTAAAGTCCTAGTAGTTCTAGATGGTAGGGTCTTTTCTGGTTTGTTTCAGTGTCTAATATAAAAGGAAGTGGTACTAAAAACCATGTGGACATTGAGTCAGCCTTGTGCAGCCTCCTTCCCATTCATGTTTTTACAGCATTAAATAAATAATAATATTATATATATACCGTATATACTCGAGTATAAGCCGACCCAAATATAAGCCGAGGTACCTAATTTTACCACAAAAAACTGGGAAAAACTATTGACTCGAGTATAAGCCGAGGGTGGGAACACCAGTGGGAAGAATCGTGCCTCATCATTGGTGTCAGTGGGAGGATAGTGCCCCATCATTGGTGTCAGTGGGAGGAATAGTGTCCCATTATTGGTATCAGTAGGAGGAATAGTGCCCCATAATTCATTGGTGCCCACATTGGTATTAGTGGGAGGAATAGTGCCCCATCATTGGTATCAGTGGGAGGAATAGTGCC